TGACTAGATAGTTTGTTCAGAATTCAACTCAAGTGTTGAATTCTGCAGACCTTCTGAGAAGCATGCCCACCTCCCATCACAAATGGTTTCCACTCACCTCTCACTGAGAACACTCATTGCATGGGGGTTGTGGCCAGTTTGGTCCGTAGAGCACCCTGCGGTGTGAACAGGCCTTGCCTCCCTGTTCCAGCGGCTGACATAGACTGGGTGTGCCACTATTTCTTGAATGGATTGTCATATCCACTCAAGATGGAGGTATAAACTCATGCTTTGGTGTACCTCTCCTCCAAACGTAGCAGTGAAAACAGGGAAACAAACCAGAAAACATAGCTGGGCCTCCAAACAAAGTAAATACCCTCCAGTACAGAAACATACTGGGAACCCAGCATGAGCATGAGTTGGCTGGATTTTACTGGCCTGCTGAGTTCCAAGCTCCAAGCAGGCAGTGTTAGTAGGAAACTTGGTTCCTGCAGGGTAGTAAGGGTCATAGGTACTAAAGTGGTCAGTGGGATTAGAACTAGATTTAGATACTTCCTGAAGCTGGGGGTTAGATGAGATCTTTCCCTATCTAAGGCCATTCTCCCCTATACACATTGGGGCTTTATAAGGACTTTGCAGTCCTAGGGACGGGAGAAAGCAAGGCCTCGAATGAGCCACGCTGTTCAGTGGTTTCCAGCAGGATCTACACTGTCTGTAAGATAACCATGCAACAGACCCTGAGTCACCATGGAAAACCTAGTTCTGGACTGAGGCCTTGGAAGGCTTAGAGAACAACAGCCACAGAACACTAGTCATGCTGAAGTCTCCTCCGAAGTCGTGCTGAAATCTGTCCCTCAGTATCATTGTATTAGCAGGTAGAGCCCTTGGGAGAGGATTAGGTCATGAGGGTGGAGCTCTTGTTGGCGGGGATTGGTGTGCTTAGAAGGAGACCCTAGAGAGACCTTGTTCCTTCTGCCACATGAGGACACAGAGAGAAGTCTGTAGTCAGGCCCTCACCAGACAGAATCTTCCAGCCTCAAGAAGTGTGAGAAATAAATTTCTATTGTTTATAAGCCACCTAGTCCATGTGAGTTTGTTAAAGCAGCCCAAATGGACTAAGACAGCTAGGCAAAGAGAGTGCCAGCAACATAAACTCCTGTAAAGGTGAGCCTAAAACCCAAATTCCACAATACTTAAAGATCTCTGATACTAAGACATCCTCACAGTCGACTCCTTGCCAAGTTATACATTTACTCCACCTGAAATTTATGGATAATCTTTTTAAGATGCTTAAAAAGATAAATTAATATACATGGCAACAAATTACCAAAAAAAAAAAACCCAGAAGTGAAACAAGAGCAGGATGGTATGACCAAAATAAAAATGGAAACCTAGTGAATGAAAAGTTATTAGCTAGGATGATAGACTCTGGCCTGGACACAGTCAAAGACAGAATTAGCGAGTTGGTAGCTACTTTAGAAAATTGACCCAGATTGGAGGTACAAGGGGGACAAAGTCATAAAAATTCAAGGGCCTGCATTCAGGCAGTCCTGGAGCTGGCTCTGCCCTTTGACTTGCCGGTTATGTGAATCGTAATTGCCTTTTAACTTAAACTAGTTTGAGTCCAGTTTTTTTTCACCTGCAACAGAAGGAATCTTCTGATACAAGACGCCATTAATAGGAAGACACTATCTCATTAACATTAGGTATTAGGTGATCTGACAGTGAACTGGAGATAATTACCAGAGATGTAAATCAGGGCATTTGATACGATTAATATTGGCATAAATGAAAGAAATCTCTAACACTTAGGAAGGAAGGTGAACTTGAAGGGAGAACATGAAAAGGGGACCTAGTGATACAGTTTGGATATTTGTCCCCTCCAAATCTCATGTTGAAATGTGATCCCCAGTGTTGGAGGTGGGGCCTCATGGGAGGTGTTTGGGTCATGGGGGCGGATCCCTGATGAATGGTGTGGCACCCTCCGCGTGGCAATGAGGGAGTTTTCCCTCTGTTACTTCACGCAAGAGCAGATGGTTTAAAGGAGCCTGGTACCAGCGCTCCCACTTCCTCTCTCCCGCGTGACCTCTGCGCACACTGGCTTCCCGTCTCCTCGAGGGGGAGCAGCCGGAGGCCTCACCAGGAGCAGGTGCTGGCTGCACGCGTGTGGTACGGCCTGCAGAACTGTGGGCCAAACAAACCTTCTTTCTTTATAAATTGCTCACCCTCGGGTGAGTATTCCTTTGTAGCCGCGCAAACGGACTGAGACACCTGGTCTACTCGGCTGCCTTTCTCTGCTCCTTCTCCCCCGCCACTCCCCAGCCAAGAAGTCCACTTCTGAACGCGCCCTGTTAGGTCTCTGAGGATGTGTCAACACTTGACAGAATCTTTATCAGGTTTTAAGACACTTTCAGGTGATTTTTATTTAGTGTTATTTTCTTTATGTTTGCAGGTACGCATTGAAATACTGAAACGAAGAGTTGCTCGTGTTCTTTAGCCAGTTTTATGCTCTCAGGAGCAGCCTTGAGTCCAGAGCTCACTGTATGACATACATACACGCACTCACACAAATATGTATATTTAATTGCAGTAAAATATGCGTAACAGAAAACTTGCCTATTTAACCGTTCAGTGAATGGCTGGATTAGTTTGGTGAAATGTGTTCCCTTTCCCCGCCCACATGTTCAGCTCCCAACGAGGTGCAGCTGTGGGTGTGCCCGTCACCCTGCCACGGCAGCGGTGCTGATGCCGCAGCTCTCTCCCCTCTGACCACTAGGCAACTGTGAACCCTGACAAATTGTTCTGTTGTTTTCAACAATGCCGGGGTAATTACAAACCAGTTCAGTCAAATTGTGGCTCCTTCCAAGGAATAGTTTCTAAAGTCAGTGTTTGAGATTTGTTCCCACCCCAGAAGGGCTCCTTCCAGCTGTCTTAGTCTCCAGTTCTCTCCTGTGACCTAGCCAGCCTGCGGTCTAGGCTGTGTCTTCATTAAACCCACGCATCGCGTCCAGTTGCCTTTCACCAGGACCTGCACCGTTCTTCGATGCACCCCTAGGTTTGAACGTCACCATACTGTTGCAAATGAAGTTAGTGCCCTTGGGAAGAAATTAAGAGCTATCTCTTGTTCTACCTGCTTCTCCTCCCAGGGAAAATCTCTGAACCAGGGATCTGGAGCCCCCACCCTCAACTACACTAGCCAGGATGTAGCATTGGCTCCAGGCAGCTGAGGCAGGGTGGGAACCACTGAAGTCCTGCCCTTCCCAGAAAGAAAGCCTGGCTGGGAGCTGGAGGAGGGGGCCCTGCATTGTTGGTCTGGAGGACAAGGGGGCCCTGCATTTTGAGGGGACAAGGGGCTCTGTATTGTTGGTTTAGGGGACGGGGTGGGGGGGTCCTGCGTTGTTGGCTGCAAGAATCTGGAGTGGAGTCTCTGCGTTGACCTGGGAGTGGGAGGCAGGGAGCAGTCTTGGTTTAAATACCACACACTCTCACCTTATCTTACTGAATTTTCATAGATTTTTCTTTTTTTCTTTTTCGTTTTCGTTCCTTCATTTGCTGTATGCGTTTAGAACCATTTCCAGAAGCTTTAAATAGTAGTTTTTCTTATCATGTTCACCATTTTCCCTGGGGAGCAGGTCAGCCGAGCTCCTTAGGCTGCTGTGCTAGCAGTCGGTTGCCCACAGTTATGGATTCTCACAGAAGAAATAGTAGTTTAGAAGAGAAGTTAAGTAAATTAAAGTGGCCGTTAGCTTACCAGGTATGTGAAAGTGCTCCTGAGTCCCCCGAAAGATCTCGGTACCTTATTTGCCTCCTCATCCCTCTCCATTTCTTACCCTGAAATAACAGCATTTAAGAAAAAATGATTATGTTTAATGTCACTGTTTTCCATTGTTGACCATAACAGGACTGCTTGCTGCTTGCATTCCCACAGGTAAGCATTTCAGTTCTGTGTTATGGCTCAAATAGGCTTTTGTGGGTTAGCCTTGTAAAATCAAACCAACGGGAGGGTTAATTTCGGTAGTAAAGCTGACTTTGAGTTGCAAAGGATTAATTTATGAATGCACTTTAAGCATACCACCTGTTTGTAAACTGATTTTCTAGAATTACCTAATTTAACCACTTTTCATATCTTGAATGTCTGATTATTTGTCAGGTCAGCCTTTATCCCTCCTTTGTCTTTTAAAGAAAAAATACTTAAAACCTAAAGAAACTTGGCAGATGATTTTACTTATTTCGGTTTTGCTCCCTTGAAAAACTGGCAGAAGAACAGGAATTCATTTCTTCTGACTCAGCTCCTCCGTGGTGTCCGCGTGAGGGTGCTCGATGTTGCGGCTGGAGACTGACACGCAGTGGAAGCTCGGGGAGTGCTGGCGTTGCTCTCCTCAGTCACGTCCTCCGGGAGCTTTTCTGCTTGGCTGAAGACTAAGTTGTCTTAGACCTTTCCTCTCTGCAGAAGGCTCACCAGCATTTGTGATAAGTCTGTTTTTAATAGCTGACTTTGAGCAGTTTAATTCAGACTGAAGGAGTGGCCTTGGGGTACCATCAGCCTTTTTCCCAAGGGACTCTCCAAAGCCGGTGGTCTTCTCCAGAGGAGATTCAGGACCGACAGAAAAGGAGGCCGGGCTGGGGTAGAGGCATTCTGGGCCTTCTTGCCTTTGCTGTCTTCAGCAATTCTAGGAGTCACTTAAAAATGTCTTCATTCACTTCATGTCAGGATCCTTGCTCAGAAAAATATTGTGGACTGCTCTGGCCGTTGAGAAGGTGACTTGGATTTCCCTCCGTCCCTGCCGTCCGAGTGCCTGGGCTTGGGGTGGAGGGAAGTCAGATTGAGTCGGGTTCTGATTTATTAGATACCGGGTGTGTTCTCAGGCCAGCCGGTTGATCTCCTCGTTCTCTGGAGGATCACAGAGATCCTCCCTGACACCCTGTGACGGCGCCTGTGTGTGAAGACCGTAGGGGCTTCGTGGAAGTCTGTCGTTAGAGGCTCTCTTTTTATTTACTTAATTAATTTTGCTATTTTCTAGGAGTTCGCAGCACTTACTAAAGAACTCAATGTATGCAGGGAACAGCTCCTTGAAAGGGAAGAAGAAATTGCTGAACTGAAAGCAGAAAGGAACAACACCAGGGTAGGTGGATCTTACCATTTACCATTTGCCTCTGGAATCAGTGTCGGGATCGGCAATGCTGTCTTAGAAGGAAAAGACGAGCACTGTTCGGTTTTAAACACGTTTCATACTGTTTCTTACTGAGCAGCTGGGGTTGATCAGTTCAGTATTATCATATATTGCTTGAAATTTGTGATGAAATTAATGATATTTTAATGCATTTGAGGGGAATTTCTGTAACCTTCTACTGAACTGAAGGGATTCAAACTTGTTTTACCATAGATTGTAAAGGAGCTATTAGCCCCAAATTTAAATGTGAAATTATTAGATCATTAAATATGAAATATCTGATTCCGAATCAAAAGTTTATTATATGTCAAACAAGAAGCAGTACATTTAATCAAAATATGTGCCTAAACTGTCAACACCTGATACGGTGTTGATACACCTGCCACCTGAACGGCAGCTTATTTATGCCCCCAGTGAAGAAGCCTGGAGAACATGAGGCAATGAAATTGAGAAAGACATTTTCCACAGTTCTTGCTGAGAACTGAATATTTTTCCTTGCAAGTGCTCCAAAGCCTGGAAGAAGTGGTAGTCAGTTGGTACAAGGTCTGGTGAATACGGCAGATGACAGAGAGTTTCCAAGTCCAGTTTCTGTAGTTTGAGAAGCGTTGCTTGTGCGACACGTGATGGAACGTTGTCTTGCAAGAGGATTGGCCTGTCTCTGTTGACCACTCTGGGCTGCTTAATCGTGAGCATCCTCATCCTTCCATCCAGTTGGTTGCAGTAGACACCCACTGTAATCAATTGACCAGGTTTCATAAGCTGTAGTGGATAATAGCAGCGCTGGACCACCAAACAGACACCATTAGCTTTTGACGAATATTCAGTTTTGGACTGTATTTGAGCACTTCCTCTTTATCCAACCATTGTGCTGAACGCTTGTGATTATCACAAAGAATCCATTTTTCATCACACTTAACAATAGGGTGTAGAAATGATTGGCCATTATGTCATGGCAGCAAAGAAAGGCAAGCTTTAAGACAATTTCTCTTCATTCATGTGGAACCTGTCTATCCAACTTCTTTACTTTGCCAATTTATTTCAAATGGTCCAGTATTGTTGGAATAGTAACATCAGACTTTGCTGCTAATTCACACGTAGGTTGAGATGGATTCACTTCCACTCCAGCTTTCAGCTTTCAGCTCATGATTATCCACCTTGGTCTCAGGTTGCTCATATGGCTCATGTTCAAGATTAAAATCACCAGATGGAACTTCTCAAACCATCAACATACTGTGCGTTTATTAGCCACATCCTTCCAAAACACTTCGTTGATACTTCCAGCTGTCCACACTGCCTTGATTCCATAACAGAACTCATGTTCAAAAATAACACTAATTTTTGACTTATCCATGATTTCACAAAATTGCCCTAAAAAAAATTTGAAAGATAATCACAAGGCAAACCATGTGTTTAAAAGACTGAGGATGTACCTTCACAATAAAAATAAAACAAGCGTCAAAGTGAAATGTAGAGATATCAACTGTCAAATTTAGTACTTAAGAAAATCGGACATTTCATACTTAATAACCTAATAAAAGTGCTTTTTAAGCACGTCTTTCTTTGGCCTTTTGTTTCAGCTGCTGTTGGAGCACTTGGAATGCCTCGTCTCTAGGCACGAGCGGTCCCTCAGGATGACCGTGGTAAAGAGACAAGCTCAGTCCCCAGCAGGCGTGTCCAGCGAAGTTGAAGTGCTTAAAGCACTGAAGTCATTATTTGAACACCACAAAGCTCTGGATGAAAAGGTGCCATCAGCCACATAGCAAGTCTTGGTTTGTGTGCATTCTGGGTGTTGGACAGGCTTTTGGGGAACGCTTATTTTTGGAGCCTCTTGAATTCTTGCAAACAGATTTTCTCTCTAAGATGAAAGGGTTCTATATCATTAAAAAGTACTAAAATTGGCATAAATATCTTAAAATTAATTCTGTATATTGAATTGCTAAGAATTGGGTAATCTATTTAGGGGGGAAGCTTTTCTCAAACTTAAAATTTAAAGCCATTAACAAGGATGTTTTCTTTACAATAAGATCACTGAAAGAAAGTAATGATATTCAGGTAGGGTGCGGTGGCTTACACCCGTAATCCTAACACTCTGGGAAGCGGAGGAGGGAGGATTGCCTGAGTTCAGGAGTTCGAGACCAGACTAAGCAAGAACGAGACCCTGTCACCACTAAAAATAGAAAAATTAGCCAGGCAGTGTGGTGTCTGCCTGTAGTCCCAGCTATTCTGGAGGCTGAGGCAGGAGGATCGCTTAAGCAGAGAAGTTTGAGGTTGCAATGAGCTATGATGACGCCACTGCACTCTACCTGGGGCAACAGAGCAAGACTTTATCTCAAAAAAAGAAAAAATAAAAAGAAAGTTGGGTAACTGTACATTAAGAAAAAAAATTAAGCTGGGTGTGGTGGCATGTGGCTATAGCCCCAGCTGCTTGGGAGGCCAAGGTGGGAGGATCACTTGAGCCCAGGAGTCTGAGGTCTCAGTGAGCTATGATGAAGCCGCTGTACTGTAGCTTGGGTGACAGGGAGATCCTGTCTCCAAAAAAGAAAAGAAAGAAGAGGAAAATACATATATATATATACACGCATGCAAACTCAAGCTCTTTTATTTTCAGGTGAGAGAACGGTTACGAGTAGCACTTGAAAGATGTAGTTTGTTAGAAGAAGAATTAGGTGCCACACACAAAGAGGTAAGCTTGAGATACCGTGTGATATGAATTGAGAGATTTGTATTTTTATCCCTAAATTTAAAAAAAAGTATAAGGACTGCAGCTGTAGTAGTGGATATCAGATGTTGTATATCTTTTTGACTGAGGACCAACCTGTCCAGGTCATTTTAAGTACTAATAAACTAGACTTTTATTTCTTAAGTACCCATTTGTACAGTAGATAATAAATTCCATTTTAAATGATCTGGCTGTGTATTGGTTGGATAACATTGCCACATGCTTTATTTTTATACTGTGTTTAGCAGTTTATGGTAGTGTTTTTCCAAAAGGAATTTTGCTGTCTTATTTTTCTTATGTAAAGTATTTTACTCTCATATTCAATTTTTTGGTTTTAGCTAATGATTCTTAAAGAGCAGAATAATCAGAAAAAAACGCTAACAGATGGAGTGGTTGACATAAACCACGAACAAGAGAGTGCGCCGAGTACGAACGGGAAGGCAAGTCTTCAGGCTTTCCCTGTATTCTAATTTCATTTGTGCACGGTAAGCGTGTCGGCTGTTTTGGAAAGCTGTTGCTAAAGCACTGGCTTAAGCTTGAGTGGTCATGAGAGTTGTGTAATCCAACAGATTGTATAAATCAGTTTTGATTTTACCTGTTTTCTGGAAGTATTTTATAGCTAACCAAACAAGGCTATTGAAGGATTTTTTTTTTCCCAACAGAGATCTTCCGATGGTTCTTTAAGCCATGAGGAAGACCTTGCGAAGGTAATCGAGCTCCAGGAAACCATAAGCAAGCAGTCAAGGGAGCAGAGCCAGATGAAGGAGCGCCTGGCTGCTCTGTCCAGTCACGTGGCAGAGCTGGAAGAGGATCTTGACACTGCTAGAAAAGATCTCATCAAATCTGAAGAAATGAACACAAAATTGCAACGAGATGTCCGTGAAGTAAGTGATAACAGAGACTGCAAAATTGTCATTAAATGGAATATTTGGGGTGTTTTGGTTAATTGATTTTTTTTTTTTTTTTGGCTCCTTTTGTCCCTTACTCTCCCAATTACTTTCAAGCTTTGGATTATTGTATAAGTGATATCTAAAAAAGATTGCTAGGAGACTGCGACAGGCTGCCTCCCCTTTTTTGTGGGGAAATCTCCTGTCCCTTTAAAGGTAGAGGAGAATAGCCCCACTGCCTCACTGGCTGGAGAGCGGGCACCACCACGCGCCGTGGGATCAGTTACTGCCCTCGTGGAGAGTCTCCATCTGTGTGGCTTCTAGGCTGTCTTAGCTTGTTCTTTATGTTCAGATTTCCTTCTGCCACACACTTACTCTGGCAGGTGCTGGTAGCAGCTGTGCTGTGGGCATGGCCCTGTGTCGGGGTGTCCTTGGTGCCCTTCTACTCTCCTGACTCTGCTCCTTCACAGCATGTGCAGTGGTGAATGTCAGTAGTCAGGATCATGATGGGAAAATGTGGTGAAAGATACTCATTTCTGACAAACACGTCCGCCTTTATAACTGTCTATGAGAAACTATTAATATGCAGTCATAAAAGAAATGCGGGCTGAACGCTTTCTCTGGTGCTCCTCCTGTCACTCACTCACCTGTCCTTTGTGTCCTCTTGACTGTTTAATATAAGTAGAACAGACTGACTTTCAGTTTGGTAGCCTAATCTGAGAATTTTACGTAAGAATTCAGAACAAAGAAAGATATTTGCATATACTATGTAACCTATTAGGTTATATTATTTGGCTACAGCAGGAGATTATGTGGCAGAGATCAATAATGCAGAAAATTTTGAAATTCTTTTAAGACCTACCACTTGTAATATTAAGACTTTGCTAACAGTCCCTTGGTAAACAATGAAGGACCAAACATCAGTGAATTGTGGAGTGGAGGAGAGGTACTGTACAGGTAAAATGTTATGGTCCTACTCTCTAGGGGTTGATACATGTGGGATTAACTTTAATTTTGCTACAGATGTTAGGCAGTTCCATCCAATTAAATTAAACTTTGACTTCTGTTTCCATTTGTTAACATGCTTGTATGCTGTGATTGTATGAGCTTTCATCCAGCCTTTTCCCTAGAAAATGAGCTTCGTGTCTTACTACTTTATCCCTGTCCTGCCTGAGACCGTTTATATAGCATAAGGCTGCGTCTTCATTGCAGATACCTTCACCTCCTTGAATTCTTGCAATGTTGGGATATTTTGTTTTACATACTCTTTTGTAATTATTGTGTAGAAAAGGATAAGCTTGGTAAACTGAGTGGCTTAGTATTAAGGCAGACGAGTCTTTGTTAATTTTATAGGTGAATATTTATGATATTTGAGGTAGTAGGTACATTTTCATTCAGATTTCAGAAAATTGACATCTGTATCAATTTAATTTTGAGGACATTAACTTTTTTTTTTTTTTTTGAGACAGAGTCTCACTCTGTTGCCCT